CCACCACTCCAGCAACCCTCAGTTTGTTTCCTGAGTTTAAGAATTCCTCATATCAGTGAGGTCATATGATACATGTCTTTCTCTGATTGACTTTTTAAAGGGTTTTACTAGCTTCATGAGATAGAAGCTAGAGGTAAGAGCATCCCTCAAGTTACTAACGTTTCTGTATTTTGTTTTACTTACTGCCATTAAGATCACCAACTTGGGGAAACTCTCTACTATACAAGATAGGCTAATACTTCCCAAACCTTTCCTATGACATACTGCACATGGACAGTACAATCATATTGCACCCAAGGATAAATAAGTTAAGGGATCGTGAGCATATGTGGAGTTCAATGAAAGCATGTATTACATGTTTTTACAGTATGTATTTGTGATAAGGAATATAAAAGCAAAGAATCAAGGAGGAATATATTATAAATATTGAAATTTTATATTTTTATGCTTGAAATAGCTGTATGTAATTCCTGAATAAGAATTGTACTTAAGCATAATGCGAAATTTGCTCACATGAACAGTCAGAAGCAAATGGCAAAAGAATGTGTACAGTTTTTCTCTAATCAGTGGAATATTTTCCTTCTGTTAACCAGAATTTGAATAATTCCTTAGATTGTACATGAAGATTTAAAAAATCTTAGTTAGTCCCCTCTTCCATTTACATATGTAATGTTGAAAAATCTTTTGATAAGGAATATAGATTTTGAATCCAATCATACATTTTCATGTCAAGTATTTGAAAATGATACCTGCATTCCACTAGTCTTAACTACTCTACCTTAGTGTTAAGATTGTGACACTGTCAAATATTACCAGTCAACTTTTTTTAACCATAATTTTATAAAGTTGCATTTTTGCTTTGAATCTATAAACTTTTTCTTTTTTTTTCAATCCTTTAAAATTTATTGAGATTTATTTTATAACCAAGTAATTGGCTATTTTGGTGAATAGTATATGTTTTAGGCAGTTTTGGCGTGTAGTGTTTCATAAAGGTCATTCAGGTCAACTTGGGTAATAGTGTTCCCCAAGTCTAGGGCACCCCAATTGATTTTCTATTTACTCTATCACTTATTGAGAGAGGTTTTTAAACCTCCAAATATAATTATGAGTATGTCCATTTCTCCTTTAAGTTCTGCCAGTTTTGCCTTATCTATTTTGAAGTTCTGTTATTAGGTACATGTGTGTTAGTATCACATGTCATCATGATGAAGTGAGTCCTTTATCATATGAAATGACCCCCTCCAGTCCTGCCAGAATCCCCTGTTGTCAAATCTCCATTTCCAGCTCTCTTGTGATTTGTGGACAATGAATGGCTTTTCTGTTTCCATTCTTTTACTTCCAACCTACCTATATCTTTATGTTTATGGCTGTTGCATTGTTGTCTTGTCTTTAAGTTTTTTGGAGACAGCATACAGGTGGACCATGTTGTTTCATCCCATCTGAAAAGTCTGTGTTTCAGTGCATATGTTTATTTTTTTATTTTATTCTTTATTTTATTTTATTATACTATGTTGGGGTTAGTCAAGCAGAGAAAGACAATTATATGATTTCACTTATATGTGGAATGTAAGGACTAGCATGGAGGACATTAGGAGAAGGAAGGGAAAAATGAACGGGGGGAATCAGAGGGGGAGACTAACCATGAGAGACTATGGACTATGGGAAACAAACTGAGGGTTTCAGAGGGGAGGGGCTTGGGGGGGTTAGGATAGCCTGGTGATGGGTATCAAGGAGGACCCATATTGAATGGAGCACTGGGTGTTATATGCAAACAATGAATCATGGAACACTACATCAAAAACTAATGATGTACTATACGGTGACTAATATAAACTTTTTCAAAACGCATTTTATTTTTAACATAACAGTGATGTTGTGCTCTAATAGGTTTTCTTTCCATAAAATTGAAATCAGGCAGGACTCTAGCAGTTTGGATTTTATTAGATTTATTTTGATAGCATCATTGAATATGGAATAGAGATCTGTGGATGGAATGGAGTGACATGTTACTCAGGGTGTTTAGGACGAACTCTTGATGTAAAGCCTTGATACTTTTCTGTTGGTGCAGCTGTACCATCAATGAACACTTATGCAGTGCCTTACATAGTACCGTTTTTTCTTTTCAACTGCAAATATACCAAGTTGAATATTTCGTTACCAGGAGTTTGTTTTAGTGCTTCTTTGTAAAATAACATTCTGCTAATATTCCTCTTCAGGGATTTTGTCCTAGAGCTGTTAGCTAGGTCACTGGTATAAATGTATAAATGTTTTTGATTTAATCATTTTATGGATTGGTGCTTTTTCTATGCCACTTGTTAGTGCATTCAGTAATAATATTAATACATTATTTTAAAAAATTAGTCCCTTTTCTATTTTGTTTGTTCCATTGGTCTCAAACATTGCAGTGACACTTTGTATGCAGGTTGATAAAATAAGCTAATCTGCAATTGTGGTGAGACACTTTGGCTTTAGCTAATAATAGTACAAACTTGTCCACCTTCTTTAACTCAATCTCATTATTATAATCAACCTCAAAAAAGCTTCAACCTATGCCCCAGTCCAGCATTCTTCAACCTTATTACCCTGTTCCTTTTCTTCCATAGCCTATGTCAATTCCTAATATGCTGCTTAATTTGTATATTTATTTAAACACTTAAATGTATAAGCTCTAGGAGGGCAGGGTTTTCTCTTTTGTTTACCAGTGTGTCCCAAACTATTTTCAATAGTAATTAATTCAACAAATAGGTGTTGAGTGTGTGAATTAATATTTAAATACAAATATGTAAAGGACAGTAAGCTTTTATTACTTTAAAAAACATATTTAAAAGATAATAGATCCTCTGCATTCTTAAGAATGTTGTAAGCAAATTATCCTGTGTTGGAAGAAATTATGCCACACTTCAAAAAGGTGTAAAAAATTGGCCTTGGATAAGCAATATAGGAAAAAATGAAATATTACTTTGAAGTTCTCAAAATTTTATAAACTAGGACTATCTACTCACATGAGATAAAAATAATTTGAAAAAATTTTTCCTTTAAAGCCATTGAGACCAGAAGAATCCTTTAATGTATTGACTGTATTAAATTATCTTTCATTATTATTTGTTCTTAAAAAAAAACTTTCTAAATGATAATATACTAATTCTTTATGGAATTTCATCAAGAATCAGAGTTTGGCTAATTTTAACATAAAAGCTGTTAATAAAATGACAGATTATGAAAGATCAAAAAATCAAATATTTCCATGTGGGAATACCTAATCTCAAGTAAAAATTATAATAAAAGTAACAACCACATATGCCTTCTGTTAATAAAAACATACACAAAAGGAGAACAAATTAAATTTAAATAAAAACTGAACTATTTCACATTCACATACAGGTAAAACTCCATTGATGATAAATCAAGCTAAGGTCATAGTCAAATGAACTAGCGTAGTTCAACAGGAAGATTATGGGAGAGTTATATATATTTTATATATATAAAAATGTGTGTGGATATATTCCTCTCTTACTCCTCATAAAATGAAAAACAGTTAACACAGGAAGTTTAGAGTTAACAATTCTAATACCATTCAAATGTACATTTAGATTTAAATTTTACAACCATCAATGTGTCTTGGCACACTTATAACCATTTGCAAGGCATTAGCAATAGTAAATCATATGTCCAGTCACTTGTAGGACAGAGAACTAGTGTCAAAACCCCTTTCTTTTCTGTATAACTTTAAATCTTAGATCCATATTTAAAGATTCCATTTTCCCATGTGCTTTTTTTGCCCTGGAGAGAAGATGGGTTTTCTAGAATTATAGAATCAGAGTTAAGAAAAAATGTTTTCTCTTCACCTTCTGCATGATGCATGTGCTGCACAGATTCATTGCAGCATTGCCCATACAGCATGGCCCATTCTCTGCACACAGATCCCCAGAGTGGAGGACTAGACTGCACTGGTTTGGGCCCATTTAAATTGGTTTGGAGAGTTTGTCTTTCTCATAGGGTCTTTCTATTTAATTTCTGTAGAACTAGATTTTTCTAGTGTCAGGAATAGAGTGACTCATCAGAACTACCAGTAGTGGAAGGGAAAAACCAAAAGACTGCTTACTATGGTCTGTTTTTTAAGGCGCATATCTTTCATTTTTAATATCTAAAGTAAAATACTCTAAAAAGTATTATTTTATAAAGTCCTTGCTTCCTGTTATGATGCTTTCTAGTATATCCCAACCCAAAAGTTTTACTGATACTCTTTTTCACAGTTTTAGCATAGTTTGTATGTTATTTTATGTCACTTAGATGATATATTAATGCTGTTTTCCTACATGTTTTGTGCTTAATCCTATATTCTGAATTTTACTTAGAGTTACCTTTAAAAGGTAGAAGTTGCCATCTTTTCAGAGAGTTGTGACTAAGCAAAATACATCAGAACACTAAAAGTATAACAAACAGGCTTTATAATTTGATGATTCAGAAGACTGTGTTGTATTTAGGTAGATCAGAGTTATTATTGATCTGGTTTTATGAACACCATTTACTATAAATTAGAGTTATGTAGTGGCAATTAATAGACCAATTAATAAAACTTTTATTATAAGTGAGTGTACTGTGATTACAAGGTACAATCATTAACATCTTTTCTTGTAATTCAGTCAATAATTTGTTGTGTAGCTACTCTATGCAAGGCTTGGTGCTGGGAGTTATGTTGGTTACAAAAATGTATGGCATAATTTCTTCCAACACAGGGTAATCTATAAGAGTAGAAGAACTCTTGCCTGAGCTTTGGGACTCCATTATGTAATAGCTTGTTTTTTTCTGAGAGTGTAATTAGTCTCTTGTCTCCATCTCTAAACACACCTACTCCAAATATATTGTTTTCAATACAACATAGAAAAGACACTGTATAAGAATTATTTCTTATACATACATTTCTTACACTACTATTATGCTTATATTCAGAAAATTATTACCTAAATTTTCATTGAAAATTAATATATATGTATAAGTTGATTTTTTGTGTTTTTTAAACTCATCAATTCTGTACAAATAGTCATTAATGAAATGTGTATTTCATAAAAGATAAAGGATACAAATTTTCAGTTTATATATGTATATATGAATACTATATATATGTATGTGTATATACATATATTTTAATATTTATATGTATCTATACATATACATTATGTATGTGTGTGTATATATATTTTAAAGATGTATTTACCTGAGAGAAAGCGAGCATGCGTGCATGTGTGTGGGGATGGGTTGGGGGGGAGGTGGGACTTGGGCAGAGGAAGAGGGAGAGGGAGAAGGAGGGAGAGAATCTCAAGCAAATTCCCTGTAGAGCTGAGCCTGATTCTGGGCTCGATCTCATGCTCCTGTGATCATGACCTGAGCTGAAATCAAGAGTCAGACACTTAACTGACTGAGCCACCCCAGTGCCCCTAAGTTTATATTATTTTTAACTATTCAAGAAAGTTTATTTTTTGTCCTAGACATTCACCTGAGAGGTTGGCTATAAGATGTCCACTTAATGTGCTATCGTATGTCTCCAGTCATCAGTATATAAATTAATTTTTTGTGTGTGTACTCTGAGGTATCTCTGAGAACCTGTCATAAAATATATATTTCTATATATATATTTCTATAAATATATATGCAGTGTGAAATGGTAAATTGTCCTTTATGATGATAAATGATAAAACAGAAAAACCACTGATAAATCATCTTACTGATTTCAGAAACTTTAGTATATAACTCAAACCTAAATCCTTAAAAGCACTTTAGCAATAAAGTTTGAAAGAAATCCTCATTTTAACTCGTATATACTTGTTATATATAAGTTGGTTTGTTTTAATTTAAAAGCATTAATTTTCTTTATTACAGTTACCCAGTAAAGAACATAAAATGCCTTTCTGGAAGAAGTTTCTTAATTATCCATTCTTCAGAATTAATTTGAATATAAATTTTTAGTATAAGTCTGTCGGGTATAGTTGCTAGTCTGTCAGTTTTTCTTGACATAAAATGATACCTCCCAAGTTTATTCTTTGTTTTAAAATGTTGTGGTTAGATATTGGATTTATAGTAACACTCATTGAAGTATTATAGAGTGATCATGATGACAAGAGCCAAACTGAAAATATAACCAACTTTATGAAGAAATTGGAGAAAAATGCCAGTTTGGAAGATGTGTGTACATATATCCACACATATATAAATGGGCATATAAATAAATGTAAAATATAAAATATATAAATTATGTAAGATTAATATGTAATTATTATAGAAATATATAGAAAAGAGCTGATCTAAGAACTTTGATGGGAATGCATTATGCATTTTTTCCCAGTTTTAGTGATATATTTCTTATGGAGTTCCCAATTTCAGTTATTAGTATCTCAAGTTCAGATTTAGGTTAATATTATCTTAGAAAAAGGGGACTGTGCAGATATCCCAAAGAGCTGAAGAACTAAAACTTTTTAATGTGAGAGAATCATTGGCCAAAGCCAGCTGGATAGCCAGCATATTAGAAATACACTCAAGTAGTGAAATGTAAAGCTTTATTACTGTGTACTCGTACTTTTATTCTTTCATGCAACAGCCATCCCCTTCATTTCACAAGGCACTGAATTACAGTATTAACTTTATTCCTTTGTCTTGGAAGGTATAAATATTGCCTTAATTGAGATTTATTCTTTCTACAATGTTTATAACATTCTGACTTTTTAGCTTACATAATTATAATGTTTGCAGTAACTTGTTATGCCACCACATTAATTTTGAAACAGCAACTCAAAGCAAAAGACTTAGGTAAATTGGTTTGATTATTTTACATTAGTCGCATGTTCATTAATTCTGTTTCTCCTTTTTATGCAGAGGTACCTAGCTACTGACACTATAGAATCTGGCATCCATCCAGTATATTTTTGCAGCACTCACTACATTGAAATGCTCCTGAAGGTGGAGGTGCCACTTGTGTTTTCAGCTTTTCACATGTCTGGTTTTGCACCATCCCAGGTAATCCAGAAGAAATAGCATTTCTTCAACTCCCAGATCTCAGTGTCTTTAAAGAAAGTTAAAGTCTCATCAAATATAGGAAATACATTTAAATTAATAAGATCATTTTATAAGTATTCATACTTTTCTAACTGAATTTTTTCCCCTAAGTCTGTTACAATATACAGATTTCTTTATAGTAGATTCCTGGCATTGAGATTTCAAGTTCAACTTCAACTATTCAAGGACATAGACATTCTGGAAGTCTATGACATGTAGGCTTTTTAATGGAGATAATATCTGCTTCCTAAGGCTAATGTAAGGATTAAGTGAGGTAACTGAGGGTAAGAATTCTTAAGACTGAACATCTGGCATTTGAGATACTGTATCTTAACCGAACAAGAAAGCCCAGCTCTCTATTTCTGCTCTCGGGATCTGGGAAGGATTAATGATTTTTCCAGGGCCTGGAGTTGTGCTTGTCACATGCAGGAGTGCCTCCTGTGCATAGGCAGTCCTTCATTGGTGGAGGGGTGTATTGTTTCTTTACTGTTAAAAGCAGGCTACAACTTAAAATTTTAGAGCTTAAACCTTTTTCTGTTTTTAGAATTAAATCTTTAGATCAGAGTTCCAGAAGGTAGAAATACTTAACCAAAAGATATGAACACTTTTAAGACTGTTGACACATATTATCAAGTTGCTTTGATCTTACTCTGCTAACAGAAATGAAGAAAGTGTCTGTTTTTCATGTCTGGGTATTAGGCTTTTTCAAAACTAATAGCTAAATTAATAGGTGGTGTTTTCTCTTTTTAAAATTTTGTGAATTTTTAAACATTAGCAAGGTTGACTATAATTCCATAGCCTAGTTAATATTGAATCTTCTTAATTGCCTACCTACCTGTCTTAGCGTGTTTCTTATTGATTTGTATGTTCTTTAAAAGTAACCCCACTACCTAAATCTCTTCAATTCCTGTTATGTATTTTATTTACTATTGTAATTTATTACTTATTTGCTGTTAGTGTTTTTATGTATTTACTATTGTATTATTTATTACATTTTTCTTATTACATCCTTATATTATGTCTTAATGCTGGTAAGAATCAGCCTATTATACACTTCCTAACTTCCCCCTGAAAAAGCTAATTTAACTATTTCTATTGATTCCTTTATGTGCCCTCTAAAGTGATTTTTCCTGTTTCAAATTGGGCATTTGGATGTGGATAAAATGCTATTATGTTCACTTTTCTCAAAGTAATTTATAGTTTATGTCCTTACTGACTCAGCCTTCCTATCTAGGAATGTAGTAAGTTTTTCCATTTATTTTCTTTGTATTATATTTTACTAAAGTTGTATATTTTTTCCATATAGGTGTAATATCTTTCTTATTACAGATATTTCTAATTAGTGTAGCTTGAAATCTCTTTTTCAATTTTATTTCCTTTGTGGTTACTGTTAATAATTAGTGACGGCATTAAATTTTCTATAATCATTAGGTTGTACGTTTTTCTCTAGATTTGTGTTTTTTCCAATTTTGTAATGTATTTTATTTCTGTTTCATTGTTAATTAAATTCTGTAATTTTTCCAGAATAATTCTAAGTAGTGGCTTGAACAATTATTAAGAAATCATCTAGTATTTCACCATTAAGAGAATTATTCCCTGTCATGCTATGGAAGAATCCTCTACTTTATGTAAAATATTGAATTTTGTTTCCTTTCTTTTAATAAAATAAGAATGTTGAATTTTGTCAAGTTCCTTTAGGGTTAAGGTTATCTCGATCTTGGGGTTTATGTGACTTGTTTATGTGACCGTTGATAGATTTCTTAATAGTAAACAATGGTTGCATTTCCTTGGATTTGTCCTCCTGGCAACCTTTCCTCTTAACTAGACCATATAATTCTTGGTAATGTGCCTTTAGACTTATTTTGAAGAGCCCTTATGTCATGTAATTACATTTACTTGCATCTGGTTACTGTGCCTGTTGAGTTCTAAATTTCCTGAAGTTATTAAGTCTAAATATAACAAGGAATTGCATGTAATGAAAAGGAATATTCTTTCCTGAGCAGTTGTAGCTCTTACTTGGCATGTACCTAAAACATTTTTGGAAATTTTGAATCATAAAATGTTGAATTCTGGTTGGAAGTAGATACCTAAATGTTTACTATAAGCTGAATAATCTATTCTTTCTACTCTTCTAAAAATCCAAGCTAGGGAACAAAATGTTCCTGAGAGCTCTTTTTGCCATTCTAGTCTTGAGTAATATATATTGTCTAATGCCTTCAATCATTTATTAGTTCCTAACATATATCCTTTAAATTTTAAAATAGACTACCACGAACTGTGGGGAAACTTGTAGTACCTCTGGCCTCACTGTATCAATTCGATACCTTTTTATTATTTTGGCATTTATCAATTTGAAATTGCATATATGTAGCAGATTTATCTAATAAAACCCACTGCATTATTTCCAAGCAGTAATGTTGTTATGTTTCTTAAATTATCTAATGTAAAAATGCCTTCTTAATGGCTCTTGTGAGCTAATCATTTTCTTCCTTAAATATATATCATTGCTTTGTTGATATTATTTGCCATTTTACTGCTAATTATAAAATATGAAACAACTTTTAAGTAACGAATAGGTGTAGGTGCTTAAGTAATCATTTGGATACAGATTTCGTATTTCAAAGCTTATTCATTTTGATCTAATTAGGAGCAGTGCTTTTTGAAGTTGTGTATTTACAGACACTAAGGGATTGGTTGATTAATGAAGGATTTGTGAGTAGGTTGCTAAATAAAATACATATGTCTCTAGAGTAAAAATATATGTTCAACTAGAATACAAAAAAATTAAAATAGAAATATATGTTGATTAGAGTTTAAGAGTAACTGAGAGTGGAAAATAGAAATTCCAAATATATAGTCCTCCTTTTTAAATGAACAGAAAAATCACATATTCTAATTAACTTTTTGACGAATTTTATCCTTTGGTAAAACACTTTCCTTATTGTACTTTATTTAACTTTCCTAGCTTAAGAAGTACCACATATCTTTAATGATTTATCTCTTATAATTCCTTGGGGTATTTATTCTGCATATCATTATTGTACTCTACTGTGTCCGCAAATGGGCTAACATGGATAATCCTCTGAATATACTTTAGAAAAACCTCATGGTTGTTTCTCCTTTGCTGTTTTTTTCTCCTCCTCCCATCATGAAGACTGGATTTAAAAAAAAAAAACTATTCTTAACGTTTCATATTTTGTGACATAGTGTTTTTTGAAAATGCAGAATTATATAAATGCAAAGCAGAATGTTTCTCATTCATGCTCCTATTCATAAATGTCTACATATCTCTATCTATCTACCTATCTATCTATTTATCAATCTATCTATCTATCTCTGTATATGTATCTCTATCTTCCCAGGCTTTCCCTCCTCTCATGTTGCTGATGTTATCACTTGAAATAGTACCTTCTTTCTCCCTGTGCCACATCTTTGTGTCAGCTACTTATCCTTTATGTTTGTCCAAATGGAAAATTTTTCTTCAATGAACTACAAGTAGATTTGAATTTGTGTATTGTTTCTTTACTTCCAGTAGAAATCTTTATCTTGCCTTGTGGAATAGTTATCTGTGTCCTTTATCTCTTTAATAGTTGAAGATCCTTAAAGGTATGTGTGCCTGATTTATCTTGAGGTTCTTTGGGTGTGTGATACAGTATCTTGCCTAGAAGTACAACAGAAATACTCTTATGTATAACAACTCTTTGCAGTGTAAAGATGTATTTCCAGAGCTTATCTCATTCAAAATTTTGACTACTTCATGTGACAGAAGTAGAAATTCAGAATCAGTGAAGTCAGTGAATTGACTTATTGAGGTTACCTTGATAGCAAGGACTTCACTTGAAGCCACATCTTTTGATTTTGAAATTAGTTTTCTTTCTTTCTTTGCTAATATTCCTTCTATGGTGAGAGCAAATAAAATAAGGCCAGAAGAGTTGTAAAAACATTGTCTTTGAGTCATAAAACTTGGTCATTTAATTCATACTTATTCTGACTTAATCAGGTATCCATAAAAAATTGTTTTAACCAAACTTTTTTTACTTAATTCTTACGGAATTTTTTGAAGATTGTTTTTTAGATCTAGATACAAGTGAGAATAATTTACCTCAGATGAAATAATTATGTTTATCTCAGTGTTGCATCTTAATGTCCTTTAGTAGCTTAAGTACGGTTGAAGAGCAGAATTTCCTAGGAAGGTTGTGGTACATTTTCATGTATATCATACAAGTGATTTTCTTTCCTTATAAGCCTAAAACACCATTTAAATGTTTTAAAAAGTAATTAGGTTTAAAGAACATTGGTTTTACTATAAAAACAAATGTAATTAGTTTGTTTCACTTTCTTTGTAAACCATTTCATCACTAATATTTTTTTGATGAATAGAAGAACTCAGCTTAGTTTTGAAGATGCAGTACATCTTTGGACTTATAAGAGGGAATTTGGCAGTGTCTAGCAAAATCTTACGTGCATTTACCCTTTAACCCAGCAATCTCATGTATAGAAATCTATCCGGGAGATTATCTCACAAAAATTTGAAAATACATACAAATGTTTGTTATAGCACTGATTATAGTATCAAAAGACTAAAAACTGCAAATGTCTATAAATAGGAGTTTGGTTGAAAAATTATGGCTTATCTGTGGTAGAATACCATGCAGTTGTAAAAATGAAAAATACCTCTGTATGTTGTATTGGAGTGATATTCAGGATCCTTTGTTAAGTGATAAAAAGATGAAGAGGGTGTTTAGTATGTTACCATTTATACAAGAAAGAGTGAACATACAAATGCGTGTACAAATGTGTTTTATTAAAAACATGAAAGAATATACCACATTTTTTTAAACGATTGCTTATAGGGCTAGGGAAGGAATGAGCTGAAGAGTCAGGGAATATACCTTACTATTATATTTTTACTTTGGAATCATTTAAATATTTTTTTATATAGTGATATAAATTCATGTAACCAACAAAATAAACAAATTCTGTCCCTAAGAATACAAAGTCAGACTGAATCAAATGAACCTAACTACACATTTGATAGTATAAACTCATGAGAATCACTTTAAAACACAGGAATCTGTGTCAAGTGATATGTTGTCTAAAGACAAAGAACAGCAAAAATACTGTTTTAAGTAATCATATTACTTGTGGTAGTGCTGGTTTTCTAAGATTATTTTTGTCTTGTGTGATAGATAAAAAGAAAAACTGATGCCACTGGTAACTGAGATTTTCTGTGTGTTTTAAAGCAAACACATATAATTTATAGCAACTTATGATGTATTTCTTTCAAAAAGTTTAAAGAAGGGGAATCTGGAGAGGGAAATGTGCTGAAGAACCTTACCAATCAAAATTTTGAATCTGTGATGGGTCTGGTTCATGTACTGTTTTTCCTTTTATATATATATTTGAAAAATTCCATAATAAAAAATGTTTTATGAGTTTATCATTCTGCTTGGACACATACTATTTCCTTTATCCTTTTAGAATTCTAGATTGTTAGCTGATTTGCAAATCTTTGCATTCTATAAAGAGAGAAGTTATTTGCTTAAGGATTAAATACTGTTACTCATTGCTCACTCTTCTAGGGGAATGTGATTTTAGAATTCTATTACAGTTTAATGATTCTAAATCATCTTGCACACAGAATAGCTGATATAATTTCTGCCAGATGAAGAGGGACATATATTTAAAAAGTGTACATCTCCCCTTTGAGTGTCAGCTCTATGAGAGCAGGGAATAAATGTCTTTTGTTCACTTAAAAATTATAATGCTTGTTTGTATATTAGGTACTTGATAAATATTAAATGAATAATAAACATCTGTACTTGTTATAGAGTAACATTTATATAGTGCTTTATATACTTTCAAAGTGCTTTCAGTTATAATCTCATTTTCCTTTCCTAAATTGCCCATATGTAGAAAAAGACAGGCATTATTTATGTTTAATGGAAGAAAAATAGACAATGTACAGAAAACAATGCTTGAATGTATGTAAATGCCAGAAAACTGCATTAATAACTATGTATAAGAAAGAACTAATTGCAGATTCTGGGGTGGCTTTCTTTTAACCAATAAAGATAAGTATCTCCCTACATATATTTTAACTTCAGATATCTTTGTTTGAACCATATAAAGTTGTGAGGTTTCAAGATCAAAATGAGTTGAGGATCAGCAGTTTCACACTGTCCAATCTCTAGAACAGTAAGGCTGCTGAAAAAGATGGACAAATGCTGTGACCCCTCATCTCTGTCTACATGTCACTCTCCCCTAAAACTGACAGCAGAATGGGAACTGCCTTTTCTGGCTGCAGGGATCATCTGTACTAATTTCTACTCTTCTTTTGTTTCTCCTTAATTCATCCAGAGACTCATTTTTATTAACAAAGTATGGCCATAAGTTGCTTGGCATTAATAGCTATAGCAAAGAACAGAGGCAGCAGTGCATTAAAGGAATTAAAAGTATTACTTTTTTTAAAAATGACTGCTTCAACCTATCTAGTAAAGTAAGAGTAGAAGATATTTTCTCCCCAGTGCCGTAGAGCCGTATTATGTGGGCAATGGAAGTTTGGTAATGAGCTCTGCATGCCAAGCTACCCTGCAGGTCAAGATCTGGGAGAAGAATCCTATTAGTGCTAAGACTAAAGTCGGGACAAAAGGAAATCAAATATATTCTACCTGTTGATAACATTGGGCATTCATAGATAAAATTCAATACTGACTTAACTCATAGGCTCTATGACTAGATTTTGAGCATTATAGAATGGGCTCATAATATTTATAAAAGCAAAATCTTGTACCTGAGAATGGAATTACAGTAAAAAACCAGAAGAAAATATTAGTGATATGTAGTTGGCATTATCAATAATAGGAAATATGAGTGGAAAATGAGATAGAAAGATATGCCTATAATAGCTGAAATTAAAATGTTATTGGTTGACATAAGTAATAACATATGGAAAACAAAAATTCATTAATACCATCTGGTATGGGCTGAATTGTGTCACCCCACCCCCAAAACTCATATAATCTTCACCACCACTACCCTCAGAATGACTATATTTGGAGACAGGGTCTTTAAAGGGGTAAATAAGTTAAAATGAGGTACATTGGGGTAGGCCCTAATCCAATTTGTCTACAGTCCTTAAAAGAAGAAATCTGGGCACAGATATCCAGAGGAAGACCAGGTGAAAACATAGAAGATTGGCATCTACAAGCCAAGGAGAGAGGTCCAACCCTGCCAACACCTTGATCTTAGACTTCTGCAGAACTGTGAGAAGATACATTTCTGTTATTTAAGTCACCTAGTCTGTGGTACTTTGTTATGGTAGCCTGAGCAGACTAATACACCATGTTCAAGCCACTTAATGGTAGAATCAGCATTCCCCCATATTGAATCAGATCTAAAAAAATGAGTTTTAGAAAGTATTCAAGAATATATCTTTAAAAGGGTAAAATCATAGAACAAAAAAGGAAGATTTGTGCATCTGTTTTTTAGATCTATGACAAATTGAGATAAGCCATTATATCTGTTCCCATTCCCTGCTCCCCACCGCCAGAAACAAAAGTATAAGGGAAGAGATTCAACAAAGGAAATATTTCTTCAATGGTAATTTGTAAATCATAAATGAAAATTAGAATACTGGAAAGTAATTATCTTAGTTTCCTAGGACTGCAGTATCAAAACAGTATGAACTGGGTAGCTTAAAACAACAGAAATTTATTGACTCACAATTTTGGAGGCCAGCAGTCCAGAATGAAAGTGTTAGCAAGACTGTGTTCCCTGTGAAGGCACTAGGGAAAGAAGTGTTTGATGCCTCTCTCCTAGGTTCTGATAGCCTTAGATGGTTTTGACTTGTAAATGCCATCTTCCAGTCCTCTGTCTTCATATGACATTCCCCATGTGTGCCTTTTCATCTTCCCTCTGTGTTTCTGTGTTCACATTTTCCCTTTTTATCTGATACCAGTCATATATTAGGATAGGACTCACCCTAGTGATCTCATTTTATCTTGATTACCTCTGTAAAAACCCTGTTTCCAACTAGTGTCACATGCACAAGCACTGTGGGTTGTTTAGAACTTGGACATACTTTTGGGGGAGAGATGCAATTCCACCCATAGCATTGATGTACCAAAATGTTAACAGTGTTCATCACTGTGCCACTGTTACTATGCTTTTTTTTTTTTTTTTTACTCTTTCTATTTTTTTTCTGCAATGGGCATGTATTCCTTTTATAATCTGAACAATCTGAATGTTACTCAAAGAGTAACATAAATGATTTTTGTAAAAGTCTCACTTTTATTTTCTACATTAACTCCCAGTTTTTATGTTATATAATCCTGTTTGGTTTAAATGATTTTTTGATTCAGCAAGAGTCCATTTGCGTTAATGTAACATTTAGCAATCTGTTATCTGCATAATTATACATCTGTGATTATAGGTAGGGTAGAAGAAACTAACATCTCTGAATTAAAATGGTCTGTTAGCATTTGTTATCTGTAGAGAGCAGACTGATGTTGTGGGTAAGAGGACTGTATGAATAAAGAAGGCATTTAGCAATACGTATATGAGCAGTATGAACACCGTGAGTTACCTCTAAGTCTTGAGTCCCTAGGCCATGAAAGTTTTCTCACGCATTAAGCAAATAGATGAAGCATCCTAGGATGTCTTTCCATTTGGATCATATGCCAAGCTCTTCATTAGTTTTGTGTGAGTTAGTGGTTACTGCTTTTTAAAGTATGGTTTTATAAGCTTTCTAATGAAGTAACTTCTTTTTTTCTAGATTTGCCTGCAATGGATAACTCAGTGTTTTTGGAATTATTTAGACTGGATAGAAATCTGCCATTATATTGCTACTTGTGTTTTCCTTGGTCCTGATTATCAAGTGTATCTCTGTATAGCTATATTCAAACATCTGCAGCAAGACATTCTGCAGCACACTCAGACTCAAGATCTGCAGGTTTTCCTAAAAGTAAGTAACTTTAGGGGGAAAATTGTGGTTAAGAGTTCATAGCTAACTTTGATGGGATGCTTATATGTCAGACACTTTTCTTGACAATCATCTGAAAACAACCTTAAGAGGTAGGTACTATTATTCTCGTTTTAGAGATGAGGAAACTGAGGCACCAACTCAAGTTGTTCAAGATGACACACTAGGGAGTGGTGGGACTGCAGTGTGAGGAAGCTAAGATGTCTGTTAGCCAGTGTTCTATCCCACAAGATGTATTTTATATCTGTATCTATCTATCTATCTATTCTTTATATCTTATCTGGTCACTAAAAGCTCAAGCTGCTATGTTAGGACAGAGGTTTGAAACGCTTTAAAAATATTTCATGCAATTTCCTGTGCCTTCATATTCTATATTTTTTTAAACTTTCACCTATTTCTATAGAATGTTTCCATGAAAGATTATTCTATCATAACATTCTTTTTAAAAAGTCACTACATTATGTAAGTTAATATTTGAAAACAAAATATAACTTGCTTTCTCTCTCACAATAGTGTGTTTTGAAGCTCTGAACTTTAGGAAATACAGTTATATAAATGCATCCCTGTGTCCAATTCTTGATGGAGATCCAACTGTATTTGTCTTAAGTTAAAATCTCTCCTTGAATTTGAGAGATTCCCTCAAGTATTTCCCTCCCCCTGCTCCCTTCACCATCCCACAGACACACATACACATGCATACACCAAAACCAGCATTTGTCCTTTGCTAGGTTTTTTCTAGATCAGCAAATAATTTCTGTTAATTAATTTTATCATTATTTTTTTTACTTTTTAAAATTAACATAATGTATTATTTGTTTCAGGGGTATAGGTCTGTGATTCATCAGTCTTACACAATACACAGCACTCCCCACAACACATAACCCTCCCCAGTGTCCATCTCCTAGCCACCCCATCCCTCCCACCCCCCTCCACTCCAGCAACCTTCAGTTTGTTTCCTGAGATTAAGAGTCTCTTATGGTTTGTCTCCCTCTCTGGTTTCATCTTGTTTCATTTTTTCCTCTTTTCCCCTATGATCCTCTACCTTGTTCCTCAATTTCCATAGATCAGTGAGATCATACGATTATTGTCTTTCTCTGATTGACTTATTTCACTTAGCATCATACCCTCTAGTTCCATCTGCGTCATTGCAAATGGCAAGGTTTCATTTTTTTGATGGATGCATAATATTCCATTGTGTGTGTGTGTGTGTGTGTATACATACATATATATATACACACCACATTTCTTTATTCATTCATCTGTGATGGACATCTGGGCTTTTTCCATAGTTTGGCTATTGTGGACATTGCTGCTATAAACATTGGGGTGCAGGTGCCCCTTCAGATTACTACATTTATATCTTTGGGTAAATACCCAGTAGTGCAATTGCTAGGCATAGGGTAGCTCTATTTTCAACTTTTTGAAGAACCTCCATTCTGTTTTCCAGAGTGGCTGCACCAGCTTACATTCCCACCAACAGTGTAGGAGGGTTCCCCCTTCTCTACATCCTCGCGAACATCTGTCGTTTCCTGACTTGTTAATTTTAGCCATTCTGACTGGTGTGAGGTGGTATCTCATTGTAGTTTTATTTATTTATTTGAGAGAATGAGAGACAGAAAGCACGAGAGGGAAGAGGGTCAGAGGGAGAAGCAGACTCCCCGCTGAGCAGGAAGCCCGATGCGGGACTCGATCCCGGGACTCCAGGATCATGACCTGAGCCGAAGGCAGTCGCTTAACCAACTGAGCCACCCAGGCGCCCGTATCTCATTGTAGTTTTATTTTTATCATTCTTTACCACTAGATACTTGTCAGAGCTCTTTCCCCTTTAATCATGATGTTCTATAAATAAACATCATTGATTATTCAAGATTGCCAAACTATCAAGAATTTTTATTTCATTAATACTGAATTCAAAAGGTCTCAAACTGTCTACATATATCACTAGAATTGTTATCTTAGGAATTTTTTTTTTTTTTTTTTTTGAGAGAGAGAGAGCGAGAGTCAGCATGAGCAGGGTGGGGGTGAGGGGCAGGGGGAGAGAGAATCTTAAGCAGGCTCCATGCCCAGCAGGTAGCCTGATGCAGGGCTCCATCTCACTGTCCCAAGAACATAACCTGAGCTGAAATCAAGAGTTGGATGCTCAACCGACTGAGCCACCCAGGCACTCCTTAGGAACATTTTTAATGAAAAAAATATACCAAGACAATGATTGTACATGTAAAAGGAAAACTTAGGTAGAAAAAGAAAACAATTATCTGCAAGAAGTAATTTGGAGAACAGGGGTGGTTAAACAAATGGGGATTATGTTGAGAACAAAATGTGGGTTCCTTTTTAGTAAGTGACACTTTCATCACTACTGTGGTCAATTAAAGGAATTTCAGAGTCTGAAATTTTCCCAGGAGCTTATAATATCCTCTAACCTATAATGCTCTAACCTTTTATCCCACTTCAGTTTCTCTTAGAGTGTTTGTCACTAGCTGAAATTTTTTAATGTATATTTTTGTCAGTCTTCCTCAGTATAATGTTTATGTTCCACAAGGACAGTGATTTTGTCCATCTCGTTTACTTATGTATTTTCAATGCCTTGAACAGTACCTGGCATATAATAGGTGCCCAATAAATATTTGTTGATAGAATAAACAAATAATACATATAAAGGGAAAGATGAACTTATTTTTGTTCATATTTAGTAACAAACATTACTAAATTCTTTAAATCTAATTAATGTTGATGATTATTGCAGTTTCTTCTCTTTGTTGACTACTTCTCGATAATACTATCAGTTTAAAACTAAAGAATTTTTAAATGAGGGGGAAAAGGTTACTACTCAAGTCCTATTTAAATTACTAAAATTTTAATTGAATTGATTTAAATCCAAACTAAACATGTTGGCAAAGAATTAATTTTAGCACTTGTCCTGGAACTAACCTTACTTCTTACTCCTTCTGTTTGCATTCATCTCAGGGATTAGGAAAAATATCTTTCTGATATTGGACTTCATTTTATTTTTTGTTTTATTTTCAACAGGTGGGTCCTAAGTTCACTGATCTCTTTTGGTGGGCAGTTATTTTTCTTGTGAGATAAATTCCAGCATGGTTTATTTAAATATGCATTTACATGCCCCTTTACTTTATAAAGCCCTGTTATGACCTGTTGTTTCCCATGTATATAAATATATATAGACTCTTTTCTACTTATTCACATATTAACCAATAATGAAACTTTAGCTAATAAAGTGATGTTCATTTTTCCTTCCCTTGAATACAGCCCAAGTCAGAAATAGTTATAGGATTTAAAAATTTCTCATTCAACTGTAGTTATAAGGATTAAACCTTATAACTATGAATTATGTTTTATACTTTCTAATCCAGAAATCTCAGACTTGTGCAAAGGGTGAAAAAAAAAAAACTTAGTAATTCTCCATATAACTATATACCACAACCATAATACTATTCTTACACAGATTACATGTTATTTTCTGACTATACATATTTGAATACGATTGCTTCTGAAGAGGTGAAGTAGAACAGAAGACTTTTACTTTTTAGTGTATTTGTTATTGTTATTGTTTTTATTTTAGAAGAATGGGTCCATACTTCTTGCATAATAAAACTTTTTAAAAGGAGGGCATTGAATCGTTATATAAAAATAGATAAAATAAGCATCTGACTATGGGTAAATATGTTCAAATAATCAGGCCCAATTGAAAGTTTTCCAAAATATTGAAAAACCGCAAACATGTTTTCAACTATTATCAGTTATCCTGAGAAACTTCAGGTAATGAGATGGTTCCAAAAGATTGAAAATATGCAGTTAAAATTTTCCTGGTTTAAGCTTCATTTATTGACAGAGAGTAACATGATAGAAGCATTGCTTTAGGAATAAAAATAATCTGTCTGAAGCATATAGTATAGAGATAGTATTAACCCATTTGTATTCATTTGGGTTTAGGCTCAAGATTTTAAATTAGGTAGTTGGGAGCCTAGACTCATTGACTACATTTCTGATAGCCCACTGAGCAATTCTTCATGATCAATATATTAAAAAGATGATTTGGAATTTCTTAGACCAGGTGGTGAACATGAATAGTCAAACCAGTTTACTTGAAAAACAAAATCATCCCCAAACCCCAAATACTTTATTTTTCCTCTTTTGGCTAAACCACTAAATGATTAAATGAATGGCATGGATATAAGATGATATCAACAAGGTGTTTTCTGAGTTTTCCACAATATCTTTGTAGACACAACAAACAAGTGGGTTTGGTAATAGAGCAGCATTATTATATATTATGTATAATAAGTGCATTATTCCCACATGTAGTGATTGATACATCAGTCCTGAGCTAAGACAACTTTTGATGGTTTGCTGAAGGGCTTAGTCCTTGGATTTAGGGTCCTGGATGTTTTAATCTGTGACAGATGATGGGCATCACACTTACCAGAAAGAAAAACATCATCCAGAAAAATAAGTGCAGTACTCTCAAATATACCAGTGAGCTTGAAAGTCTAAAGTTTGTTTTAAGTGGAGTGTCTCTTTCTCTTCCTCTCTCTTTCTCACTCTCACTCACTCATGAAAGCAAGCCAGTTTAGAAAGAGTTTAATAGTACTTGAGAAGACCCACTGTTTTAGCCAGTTGGCTAAATTCTCTCTAGCATGATAACAGGTTGGCAGTGATCTTGGTTTTAGTTTGTGAATTCAATTGAGTTCAACTTGGGGAAAACTTCACTGAAATGCCAGGTTAGGAAAAGAATGCCTTCCAGTGAAATTCAGGCTGTGAAGGCTCAAAATACTTAATTAAAATGCTTCAACTAAATCCTGCATGTTATGGCAAACTCCATTTATAATTATGAAAAAATCAGATTAATTTCAATCCAATCAGTAAATTGTCAAGAGGAATTTTGTTGTTGTTGTTCCTGCAGCTGTTACCAGAACATGTTGACAGGATAAGGAATGGAGATCAGACTGAGAAACATCACATGA